GAGGCAGCTGGAGCAGCTGCTGACCCACCGGCCCGCCGCCTCCAGTCTGCCCTACGAAGGACACAAAGTTGGCCCCCGGGCCCTGGCCCTGGCCGTGGCCTCCCTGGCCCGGGAGTTTCTCGGCCCCGGCCGCCGCGAGCAGCAGCAGCTGCAGCGCCGCCGACAAGCGGAACATCCTCCGTACACGTCCACACGCCGCCATCTTGGGTCCGCGGCGAGCTCGACGCAGCCGCGGGTGCCGCGTATTTAGATGAGGGGGCGGGGCCGCGGGGCGGGGCCCGGCGGGGTCCTCCCGAGCCCCTCCCCGGCCCGCGTCCACCCGGGAGTTGCGAGCACAACCCGGTAAGAGGCCGCGCTCCGAACCGCCCACGCCCTGGACCTCCGCGGGCGCTATGGCTGCGCTCCTTGCCGGGAGAGCGCTGCTGCTCCTTAAAAAAACCTGGGTCAGGTGGCTTTACCTGATTCCCTCGGTTGTCGTCACAGGAAAATAAAAAGGAATTGGGTTTGCCACAACCAAGATGGCCGGTGGAGTACGATGCCCGTTCAATGTAGAGGTGAACTTTACACGATCAGGTGTGTTCCGGAATCTCGGAGACTCTTTTTACATCTCTCCCTACTTCCTTTCACCTGCCTCAAAAGTCTTTCTTACCCAGAGAAGACATCATTGAATCGGGGTTAGGAGCACAGGTTCTAGGATGCGAAAAGACGCCGTTAAATCCTTGCTCTTCGGGAAACCAGGCAAATCTTTGAACTTTTCTGAGCCTCATTCTTCTTGTCAGAGAAAGAAGCTCTAATGTGTGAGGAGAGGCTTTAATGTAAAGTATAATTGTGAAGATTGGAAATAAGAAGTGCCTGGCCTCAACATGAAATTCAAAAAGTTACAGCCAGCATCACAAACTGGAGCCCTTTGCGTGTGAATCCTGATTGTAAGCCACAACTGAAACTCATGTTTTAAAGAGGAAAAGAAAATAAAACACACCTTTGAGGCCTCTGGGTTAAGTCTGTGCCTGGGTAACTTCTTGCTGACTCGCATGCAGCACTTTATGCGGGGATTGGTTGTGTCACCTCACATTAATGTTCCCACCTTTTCCTTAGGAGACATGATATCTTCCCAGAGCTGTTTCACATCCATTGTGTCATTTAAGCCATGCATCAGGCCTGGGTTCTAAGTAGGCTGAGGAATGGCAGAGATGGTAACAGTTCTGCATGGTAGGGTTAAATGACACTCCCCCTACCTTGCCCCCACCTTGCCCCACCACCACCCCAGGATGAACTCTGCCAGCCTGGGACCAGAATCCCTGGAGTTTACCGCTGCCCTGGTGAACTTTTATCCCATTCTGCCAATCCAGCACACTGGAGAATGAGGGCAGCTTGGAGCATGTGATACCAACTGATCAAAACGTTTAAAAATGCAGCTTTGGCTGTCTTGACCCACAAATGGGCAGTCAAAACCAGATTAGATATAACTAGAGCTTGAGAAGTGGAGTGGGACTCCATAAGGCTCACATTCTCTTCCCTATCTGCCCAAGACTGAGAATACTCTTGGGGGTACAAACTGCCCACTGGGGCTGACCCCAGGCCTCTGTCTCTGGGAAGGATGGCATGTGACATCTCTACCAAAATTCACCTCTGCTACCACCATAAAATGGTCCGGAGGCTGCTGTCAACCTTGAGCATTGACTAAGGCAGCCCAGAGTAGACCAGGTAAAATGTACATGTTCATTGACGGATACGTGGCATAAGTGTCTCAGGCAAGCTAGAGATATCACCAGTTCTTTTAAGTCACTAGGGCCATTAATTTTCAATGATGGGTCTGCATGTACTCTGACAAATTGATTATTTCAAGCTGGTTTGAGACTAGAAATTGACAATCCACTAAGAGAATCCAGCACTGAGGAAACCCTATGCCCAGCCACAGATTGCCTCCGCAGATAGGGAAGAGAATGTGAGCCTATCTTGAAATCACCATGACCAAGAAGCAAGAAATCTGGGAACCTGGCCAGCTCAAGCTGTGGCAACAAGCCTAAACTTTACTTAAGGCACAAACCCCTAGTTAGTGGAAAGGGGGTTGACCTAACTTGGGCCTTCTGGCCTCACTGACTTTTCAAAATAAAATGTCACAAACAAGGGATTCATTTTACTCTTTATTGTACCCTTAATTTTTCGATCCTCCACTAATTCATTCAATTGGTATCTGTTGAGCATTTTTTACATGACAGGCATTGCTCAAGAATTGGCTTATATGAGAGATATACAATAAGACAGTAAACAAAGAACAAGATAATTTCGGATAGTGTAAATGATGTGAAGAAAGTAAAAGATACGAAGTGACTGGGGTGTGGAGGGACTTTTATATAAAAGCAGGGAGGGAAAGAAAAGGTCTCTGAGTGATAAATTAGCCAATTAGCATAAAGATGACAACCATGTAAAGCAGCGGTCCCCAACCTTTTTGGCACTAGGGACAGGTGCTATGAGAATCTAATGCTAGATGATTTGAGGTGGAGCTGAGGCAGTGATGCTAGCACTGGGGAGCGACTGCAAATACAGATGAAGCTTCGCAGACATTCCTGACGCTCACCTACTGCTGTGCGGCCCGGTTCCTAACAGGCCATAGACTGGGTACTGGGGATGCGGGGGAGTTGAAGACCCCTGCCCAAAGGCTTATCACACAGAACTGGATCAGAAGTTGTCTTAGTCTGTTCAGGCTGCTATAACAAAATACCAGACTGGGTGGCTTATAAACAGCAAATTTCTCACAGTTCTAGAGGCTGAAAGGGTGAGATCAGGGTGCTAGCGTGGTCAGGGTGTGATGAAAGCTCTCTTAAAGGTTGCAGACTGTCAACTTCTCATTGTGTCCTCCTACGGTAGAGGGGGCTGGGGAGCTAAGTGCAACAGGAAACACTTGGAAGGCTTTCAGCAACAGTGATTTAATCACCAAGCAAGAGCTAGAGTCTTTACATCACAACTACCCTTACAGTGCTCAGCATGATGCTGGACACAGAGCAGGCAGTCAATGAAGATTTTCTGAATTGGCCAACCTACTCCTCCCACTGCTGAGGGCCTGAAAGGTTCCTGCTTCCCTGAAGCCCTTAAATTGTTCTTTTCACCAAGTAAGGTGGAAATTGGTGACTGGGCAGAGCACTTTCCCCTCTTTTTTTATCATCTTTCCTATGTGAGGATTATGGTGGCTTCAAAAGTACAGGAATACTTACCCGAACTTGACTGTGCAGTTGAATCACCTGGAACAATTTTCCAAATTTTCTGATTATTATATCCAGGAATATGCTTATCCAACAACTAAGTCAATACTGGTCTATCAGTCTTTGGTAACTTGTTCTAGTGCAAGGACTGTTTTGGTGGGCTCCCTTTCCTCATGCAACTTTCTGACCTTTGCCATCTTTGAGATTTCAAGGCCAAATGGAAATAACATTGACCCATTAAATTCTAACACTTTCATTCTAAAATTATCTTTTAATTTTCATTCAAGTCTCAATGTTTTTGAAGCCTCCCTGGGAAAATTCACCCTTTGTCAACTTGTCATTTTTATATTCATTCATTTATTCAGCAATTATTTTCTGAGCACCTATGTATTTTCTGCTTTGGGGATGCTCTGTGGTTATAAGAACCAGTCTATGTCTGGTTTCATTATCTACTCCACTATTTGCCTGCTGGTGCGTAGTTTGGGGTTCTATGAGAAACAAACCCATCTCAACAGGATTAGCTATGGAAGAGACTTATTAGGATGAAAGCCTCCCAGTAATGAGCCTGCTTTAGCATCTCTGCTATGCTCATTCATTGCCTGGGAGCAACCCAGACAATGGGAAGTGTGACTTGAGTAAACACAGTGATGGATTTCAGAGCATAGCAGCTGGGACTTTAGTCAATTATTCCCCACAGTTAGAGACCTGAGAGGCATATTTTCATGACTAACTATATGCCCAACTCCTGCTTGGCTGTCAGTAACGGAAAATATAAAATGGAAAAACTAGGATATGTAAAATTTAATTAAATACCACATAAATGTCATTTTCCTTTAGTGGGATTTTTAACCTGTTTATTCCCCTGTAAATCAGAATACTACTACTTATTCTACAACATCATTTAAAGAGTAATATATTGGGAAGGGGCTTTGGAAGTTATAAAGGGATAAACAGCAGAGATCGTTACCAACAAATAGAAGTTTACTAATTTAAAAAAAAAAAAAGGAAACATCTATTTTCAGAATTTCACTTACAGCCAATCACTGAGATGGGAAACAAAAAGAGTACAGTGGAAGAAAAGACAATAGCGTTGGGCTTCTTAGTAATTTGGGATTTACTTCTACCCTAAGACTTCTGTCATCTTCTGTTAGAGCAGCAGGACCCATAACAACAGTAAGCTTTACCTATGGATTTAGTCCTCCCACAATCTAGTATATGCCCATTTGCTAATCAGCTGGAAAATATTTTCAGCCTTTCCAGTCTAATCCCTAAACAGCTTGATTTATGGCAACAGAGATTCCTGAACTAAAAAAAAGAAAATGAGGCAAGTGGTCAGACTGCTGAGCAGGAACCCAGGAGCCCACAATTGCCCAATGCTGCTGCCACCAGCAGAAGTGCTGCCAAAGACTAAAAGAAGCAAAAGGTAAGTTTCCTTTCTTCTCTCATCCTCCCATGTTACAGTCACCTGGATTCAAAGAAACTAACATGTAGCTGACAGAGGGAGTCTAGGAAATGTAGTTTGTAGGATTTAGACCTTTAGATCTGAGAGGAAATAGACAAATGACCAGTGAAGAAGGGATGTTAGCAAACACACAGCTTCCTATTAGCAACAGTAATATAGAATTGCCAGCTAAAGCATCAACCACTTCATCAATTTAATTAAGATGTTAACTTTAGACCCAGGGACCATCTTGTGTAACTCAGACCTAGTACTGCATGAAATGAAGAAATCTACCAGGCTGGAATTATAGCCCTCTCCCAAAACTGCCTCTGGCAATCAAAGAGACAAAAGACACCAGGAACTGTTACACATGGCAAATTCTTTATTTTCACATTAACATTAAAATTTAAAACACAGAACAGAGACATCCCACTGCCCTGTTTTCAAAGCAGGTTCGAGAATATTTACATCGACAAGATAACTTTGAGTCTGCTTAACTCCAATCCCTCAAATGGGAAAACCACCTTAAAGACAGGAAACATGGTAGAGTCGAGTCTGGTGCTGCAGAGACCAAAGCCTGGGTCTACAGATACGATCTCCAGCCAGGCAGAGGGGGGTGGGCGTACCTGGAGGTGAAGTTTTTTCCTTTGGAGAAATCAGTCATAGTCATACAAATTTGTTTCTAAAACATCTAAATTTACTGGAGGAATGCAAGGACTGCCAAGAGATGAGATTCACCCAACGTCCTTGGTAAGAAGACCCTTGGTTCCTAAATTTAGGGGAATCAATCAGCATCTATTGTGTGTATTTCAATGCTAGTCGAATCCTAATCCTGCCCAAGACAAAAAGCAGCCAGGGTCTGACCACCTGCATCCCTTTCTTGCTGAAACCCGGTGAGTGCTGCTTTTTAATTCAAATCCCATTCTGACGCTGAAGTTCTAGGCCTGGACAGCCATTCTTAATCATCAACATATCAAACAGAATATCTGATCTGAGAAAAGGGGGCTCCTTCCCAAGCCTTGGAAACTGGCTTTTTAAACAACATCTTTAAGTAGGAGGATACACTTTAAAAGGCACAACTAGAACTGGGAATTCAGGGGAAATCTATTGCAATAACCTCTTGCTGGTGAGAAATCCTAGAAACAGCTCAGGAGTTGACCCGTCAGAACTATTTTAGAATAAAAATAATAACATTTCTATAATTATTTAAGAAAATCACACTCTTGGCCATCCTGCTCCCAAGAACTGGGCACTGATCACTCATACCTTGAGGCATGTTTGGTTGTGGAGAGCCATTTAGCAGAGTAGCCTAAGGCAAAGCAAACAAATATAAACTGAGCCCTCTACTGGAGAAAAATGCAGTACCCAGAGTTGGACAATTCAGGGTTGGAATGAAAGTTGGAAGGCATCTCCCTGCAATCCATAGGTCTCCAACCACTATTATCTTCCTGAGAATGACTTTACTTACAACACTTTTAGAAAAAGTTAGGAAGGGAGGCAAATCAAAGGAACCTGGAGTCAGACATCAGTTTCACATGCTCAAGAACAGTTTCTCACTCCTGAGGGTTGGCTTTATTCAGGTGGGAAGTCTTTTGGAACAGAAGAGACAGCCTTGTTTTTGGGAGCTGTCTGAGCAGGTTCTCTTTTGTAAATCTCTTATTTAGCCCATTGCTCTTGATATACTAGGGGACTCAAGTAAGAGCTTTAAACGCATCACTTATCTTTTCTCCGTGAAGGGAAAAGGAATGGTCTTCAAAGCATTGACTTGTATAAAAACTACTCCTGAGATCCTAGACTGACTAGAAAAAAAAGTCTTCCCCAATGCTGAAACTAGTCTCTTCCTTAGCTCACACAACACGATGAACTTAATGCACTTGACATCAACAAAGTGTCTATAACTCATCAGCTGCCTCCATCACTGGGTTTGCAATATCCCCAGCATTGCACACCTGCAATATAACTGTGGCTGCCACAGAGCATACCAGGTGTGCTCTACCACATAATTCTGTGGGGATGAGACCAAGTTACTAAAAGATTGTCAGCCCACAAGGTCAGAAATAGATTAAATCCTATGCTAGGTTCTACAGTGCCCCCCTGTGTTCAATTGAAGACTTCTGTCCCCAAGTAGCATCAAGAAAATGGTTTGTCCTTTCAGGAACATAAGCACTTCCAAACCAAATAACCCAAGTAACAAGACCACTCAGGCAGGGTGTCACATGTCCTAGCAAATGGTTGGTGCACAATCATATCCTAAGCTGTAGTAGTAGTGTTTCAGTGACCCAGAGTCTTATAATCACACAAATCCAAAGGAACCACATTCCCCGAAGTTCTAGGCCACAGACAACACGCACAATCTTGCTTAAAGCTTCTAGGTGCTAACAACATTTACCATTAACCAGCAGCATGCCTGCGAAGTTTCAAGACCCCTGTCACTCCCACCTATAGATGTGGACTATCTTCTCTGTTAAGGTAGCCAAGTAGCTGCTGTGGTTCACCTCAAATGGGCAGATGTCCAAGACAGGCTGATCAGTCTGCAGATCTTGCAGCAATGAGCCACTGCCAGCATCCCATACCTAAAAAAGATAAGCAAAGATAAAAGGTAAGGAGACATTCAATTCAGCTGGAGGGCTTCCTTTCTTTCTCATCAACTTTGAAAGAGATGTAGAGAGAGAACTGCCTGAGGAGCAAAGCAGACTGCCCCTAACTCTCACAAGGTTGCATGAAGTCAGCACATCTGACGTGGTCTAGGTATGGCCTCACCTACTGAAATCAGTAGTTTACCTGTGAATGGATCTGAAAATCAAGTCTAGCATTCGTCCTTTCAATTTATGTGCCAGGAAGTCTTCTAGGGACAGAAGGGACAATATGATGGAGTCCCTGGCCCTGCTCTCTGGGAACCTATCTCCTAACTGGTGCTTTTTCATTTTAAAAATTAATTTTAAAAAATTAAAGTATTAGAAGGTAGAACAGTACAATGAGCAACCCATTACCCAGATTATTAACTATTTACTACATCTGCTTTATCAATTCTATTTTTTTCTTTACTGATTTCTTGTCATTTTACCTTTATATATACTTAAGTATGCAAGATGTTTTCTTACACCTCAATGTCATCATGCCCACCAAATAAAGAATTTCATAGTATCATCTAACACCTAATGCATAACCAAAATTTGATAGTACCTTTTTACATTTGGTTTGTTTGAATCAGGATCTAGGTAAGGTCCATAATACATCTGATAGTTACAAATTTTAGTAAGTCTTTTTTAATTTAGAGCAGATTCAACCTTTCCACTTTTTTTCTTCTGCCATTGACCAATTGCAGAAGCTGGGTTAGTTGTCCTATAGAACGTCCCAATCTAGATTTACTTGTTTGCTTTCTGGGCCATTATTTAACTTGTTCCTCTAGCCACTGCAATGCCAGTAAATGAAAGTTAGCACTAGACTGTAGGGTGGTTCTACCCAATACGGTGGCCATAAGTCACATAAGCCTATTTATGTAAAGACAATTTAATAAAAATAAAAATTTAAAAATTAAGTTCTTCATTCATACTTACCACATTTCATATAGCTAACTATATTGGACGTCGTGCTCTAGGAAATTAAGTTCTTCATTCATACTTACCACATTTCATGTAGCTAACATGACTATATTGGACGTCGTGCTCTAGAGCTTAGATTCTAGTTCAAAGACTATTCATAGAAGGTGCTGTGTGCTTCATACTGCCTTACATCAAGAGGCAAATTATTTCTAGTTAGCCCAGTTACAGTGAAATTCCCCACCAACCTTTCATCTGCTGGTTTCACCCTGAATTGGTAAAGCTGATGCCTGAGTCGATTATTTTATAGGAGTTTCAGTAGGGACTTTTTTTTTTTAAAGGTTCAAAGTACGGCCCATGGAACACTAGATCATGTAAAAAGAATGAGGTAAATCTACAGATGTTGAAATGGAAAGATATCCAAGACAGGAAGTTAAATGGGAAAAGAGCAAACCAAGCAGAATGTGAAGTGTGGCTCGTGTAAAAAATAAATTAAGCAACTATACATACACACATGTATGCAGATGTGTGTAATCATAGAGCAAAACTGGCTTTTTGCTTTATACATTTCTGTATAAACTATAATAAACTTACCAGGGCAGACTTTGATGCTTCATCCCCAGTACACACCAGGATGCTGCCATCATCCTCTGGGTTTCGGAATATGGCACTTTTGGTTAGTAGTTTGCAAGTGGGTCCCCCAAGGAATGTCTGTACAGGATGGCAGGAGCAGACTGGCTCTCCATTGTCATCCAGCTCGTAGGACATCTCCATCAGCACACTTCGTAAGGTGTTGTGGTTTTTATCTATGGGACAGAGAAATGTGTTGCTCCATGGGGATCGACCAAAGAAATTAACCAAGCACCTGAACTTCAGATACTCATAACCTAGTTGAGTAGTAAAGTCATAATTTATTAAACCATCAAGAATGGCTACAAAGCAAACATATTACAAGAACAAAATAATATAGCACAAATGAAATTCAGAACTGTAGGCTAGGATGAAGCACCTTATCTACAATAGGTTTTGCCTATGAGGAAAACAAATCTGATGGGCTATTCTTTTTAGTAAAATCACTTCTGCTTGGAATTTTCTTTCTCAAGAGATGTAACTACAAATTTTTCTTCCTTCCCCCAGTGGGGACCTCATTAGCCCCTGGAATTGTATATTTTTATAAAGTGAAAGCAGGCTATTATAGAAGGGAAAACATATATCTGTGGTTCTGCTGGGAGGCAAACAAAAGCTAGAGGAAATGAGACCTCCAAGTTCTCTACACCAGTCACAAAATCATCATAGCCTTGGTGACAAAGGACCTACAAGATGACTAAGAACCAAAATGGTCAGAAGAGTCTACTGAGGCAGCTTCTCAGCTCAAATAAAACTTAAAATGATTAGATATACCCACAACTAGCAGAAGTATGGGCACTTTAACGACTATCTCTGACAAACCATCTGTCTGACCATCAGTATAGCTCATCAGGAATTTAGATTCGTACCTTTCAGGCTAGAAAAAACCTGTGAATTTAAGCATAGTTTATTGTCAGGGGTTCCACTCCTGGTTCTGGAAACAGTGAGAAGTTCAGCTGGCTAGGCCCATACAACCATTATTGTCTATCTACTCTCTACTTACCTTTATTGGCGCCAAATAAGAAGAGCTAATACCCTAGTCTGGGTCCTACACAGCTGCCTTTACCTGGGCCTTTCTCTTAAGTGAGGGAGGGGTAGGCAGAGGACATGAAACTGATCTGAAAGTGGCTCAATGGCCTCAAGAGCAGGCCTCCTCCTTCTACTACTGTTTTAAGTCACAGGGCTGATTTACTTTCAGGGAGTACCTGAAAGAATCTATCTCAGTTCAGAGGAGCAGGGAGGCAGGCTCTATGAAGAAACATAGGGCCATCATCCTCACTGCAGTATTAAGAGTTATTAGTCTGTGAGGGCCATACCAGTAAAACTCCCTCCTCCTCTACCAATCTGCTCCTAAACAAATCACAGGAGGTCCCTTGAGGGCATCCCAACACTCACCAGGCCTGTAGGTCACAAGACAGTGTCGGGTGCTGCTCTCTGTCTGAAAGTCTATGAAGCCCCCTGACTCCATGGGCAGTACATGAGGCAAATGAGAATAGCCCATTTTTAGCTCCCAGAAGGAAGCGTTCTCCAAGGTTCCAGCCAACAGGCCACCATATGGAAATGCAGCTGAGGCAGCTCTGGGCATGTATGAGAGGGACACCAGTGGGCATCTGAAAGGAAAGAAAGGAAACCATGCCACACATTCTAATATTTGGACTGCTCCAGACCTCCCTACCAGGAGCCCTTGAGCACATTCCTGCCTCTAGAGAAGAGGTTAAAAACCTGTGAGTCACTATCCTCTGACATCTAATAAAAACTACCAACCCACTCTGTAGAAATAAAAGGGCATACATATAATATTCTACATCCAATTTCAGAGGAGACACTACATGCTTTAAAAGCAATGAAAAAAATAGACTAAGAAATTTAATAGTACAAGATCACAATTACAAGAAAGTATGGTGTGAGCTTCTGAAGTGGGGTTAGCTACATACATAAGAAAAGTCAGGAAGGAAACACAGTTTAAACATTTAATAAAATAAAGATTCTAAGCTGTAGTTGGCAGACACCTCAATTAAAATATAGCCTAAAGCAACTACATTTTAATTCAAAAACAGGATTGTTTCTTTAGAGATTTCCTAAATCTCTTTCTGCAAGCATATGACCAGGACTGTGCCAAGAATTCTCTCAGAAACATTAGCCTACAGACTGTGTTACCATGAACTCGTTTCTGAAGTCGCCAAAGCGATCACTTTGCTTTATTTCATTTCCTTGTCACAATAAAGCTAAACAAAGCAAATTAAAAGAAAAATGAACACAACATGTAAGTATTCTTTCCTTGCTGTTTGTTATTATTTTATTGTCTACTCTATGTGGGTCCCTCTACATCAATGGCAGTTACTTTGTTTGCCTGGAGTTCACATTTGTATAAGTTTACACCAGTCATCCTCAGGCCCACAACCACGTCAATGAAACATAATTCTACCCACCCAAATGAAAAGAAAACCTCAAAGTGTTGTGCCTAGGTTTCAGTAAATAATTATTACTGTAATGATATCTTTATATTTAGATCCTGCTGCCCTCTTTTTAATATATATTCAAACTGGAATTGGAAATTCTCTCTTAAGATACTTCTTATTTTGGCCCAGGTCAGACCCAATTCTCCTTTTGAGAACTTTATGCCTGCGAGAGAGTACTATGCCGGAATAGTACCTGACACATTCCGAAGAGCCACAGTGGTGCTGGTGGCCACCCACCCTCAGAACCTGGGCTGACTTCACAAACCTCCCAACTTAATAACTGGATTATAAATGACAAAGTCATAGTAATATATCCTTAGTCCAAGCTGGTTTAGCTATGGATTATGAAAGTTTTAAATCACTTTTTATTGTGATTAGACATGCAGTTATTAAAGCAAGTCTATGCCAACCATATTTTACAGATGAAATTCACAACAGGCCAAGAAAGGTGACCAAGATCACATAGCTCTTACGTAATGGAGTTAGATTCTGAATACAGATCTGACTTCATTTAGCCATGCTGGGAATGAGTGACTCTATATGAACCTGGTTTACTTGGTACCAGAGCTTTCTATCATATAAAATATTATGAACACAAACTCTAAGGACCTTACTACTCTTGAAAGACAGGATTAATACAGTTAATAAGAAAGACACCACCTACAGGAAAAAAGTGAGTGGCTCCCTACCTGGCTTTCTGAGGTACTAACTCCTGGACAGGACAATTCGTGTTTCGAAGGTCATATACCAGAACTGAACCATTGATCAGTCCAGCATAGATGTAATTGTTTTCATCAAGACACCAGCAGCAGCTCCAGACAGGACGTCCAGCATTGTAAGTCTGGACCACAGTATTTGTCTCCAAGCTGTGGAGTTACAAGAGACTTTTACAATTATGTATTAAGAAAATCAAGTATATAACAAAGATGTAAAGATTATCATTTCACTGATGATCTTTTAAGAACACACTCATACACCCAAACTATTTGGATCTCCAATTTCTTCCAGATAACTCCTTTTAATTCCAAATGTGTGTGTGTGGTGGGGTGGGGGCTGGGGGGGCAGGGAACAACACAGGTTTTCCTCTTGAGCTGTAGGAAATAAAAGAATAATTTAAAGGGACAAATCCACAGTATATTCTCATACTACTTCCATTACTTTCTCCATAGTTACATATTTACACTGGTACTCATTCGATGTTTAAAATATAGGGAAAATAAATTATTAACCAACCATTCAGAAGTAGTCATTAATAAATAACATTTTGGTATTTAACCTTTTCCCCATTTTTTAACACTACTAGAAAAAAAATCATAGCATAGATATACATATAAAACATTATAGTACACTGAGTTTTGGGGCAAAATTAAGCTGAAGCAGTCTTAAAAAGTCAAAAGGCTTATAAGTCCTGATAGTGCTGTCACAATGTACCTCAGATTTAGCTGAAGATTTTAAGCAGGAAGCCAACTATTAGACATCTGATCAGAACTACTTTCTAAAAGATAAAGGCACAGAGCACACTCAGATTTGGTTCATGGCACTCACAGAGCACGTGGAAGACAAAATGTGGAACTAAGGGTTACTGATGACAGAGTCAGCATGGCACCCAAGGAGAGTTCCCTGTGTGCATTCTGGTTAGGTAAAATGATCCAAGTAACAAACAGGAATAAGCAGTCCTAAACTTGTATGATGACTCCACGGTGTCAGGGACCAAGGCTGTCTCCTTACTGTCATTTTTATCATCTCTAGGATAGTACTCTGAAACAGGACACTACACATACTGTTTTGTATGTAACCTGCCGTGTCTATTTTTAAAAGCAAGAGATTTTAAATTCGATGAACCTAGATCTCAAAAGACAATGCCTTAGAACAATAAAAAAAACACTAAGGCCATCATAACATTAATTTCCATTCTAGCCAACACTAAACAGTCTAAGTCCCATCTTCCTCCCTAAAGCACTCACCTGGTCAGTTTAATAGTGTTGTCTAGGGACGCAGAGAGAAGTAAGCCTTTGGATCGACTGCTGAAAGCCAGTCCACGGATCTGCTTGCTATGCATGGGAATGTACTGACTGCTTTTCATGTTGGCAGTACTCAACATCTTAACACCAAAGCCTGCCAAAGGTGAGAGAGTGAGACATATCACTGAAAGTCAACTTAGGACAAAGCAAATTACCTTTCGAAGTAGTTTCTTTGTTTACCTCGACATGTAAGTCCCTGAGGAAAAAGTTGGTCAAATAAAAACTCCCTGGGGTTATAATTTATTATAAAAAGTATATTCCATTTCAAATATCCATCAATAAGTAAATGATAAACCATTGTATATACATACAAAGGAATATTTCCCAGTAATAACAATGAGTAAACTGATATACACAATACAGAGAAATCTCAAAAAAACACTTATGTTGAATGAAGCCAGACAAAAAAAGAGTAATACTGTTTATAATTCCATTTATGTAAAATTCTAGATAATGTTAACTCATCTATTTTGATAGAAAGTCATTAGTGGTTGCCTAGGAATGAGAAGAGGAAAGGACAGGTAGAAGATGGATTACAAAAGGGCATGAGAAAACTTTTGGGGTGATAGATATGTTCTTTATTTTGATTGTGGTGATTGTTTTAGGGATGTATACACATATCAAAACTCATCAAATGGTATACTTTAATTATGTTCAGTTATTATATGTCAAGTATACTTTAATAAAGTGGTTAAAAGAAAAAGACTATTCTGAAACAGACATTCAAGATGAAGAAGAGATAGCAAACAATGAAAAATGGAGATAAGGTGGTCAAGACAGGCGCATCTGTCTGAAATAGAATGAAAATAGATGACATCTTAAGTATCCCAATCAATGTATATCATTCTAGGAGTAGAAAAAAATACCAAAAACATCCTTTTAAATTTTATTTGTTACTCTATTCTTTTTAGTCTAGGATAATATATCTATTTTTACTGAGTATTTATTATTATCTAAATTATATACTAACAGAATTTGTCAAATCCTAGCTTCAATAGTCTTGAATCACACTTCAGCTTCCCTTGAGCAGAGGTCCCCAACCTTTTTGGCACCGGGTGCTCCTATGAGAATCTAATGTCTGATGAACTTAAGTAAAGCTGAGGTGGTGATTCTAGCGCTGGGGAGGAAATACAGATGAAGCTTCGTTCGCTGGCCTGCTGCTCACCTCCTGCTATGTGGTCCAGGGGTTGGGGACTCTGTCCTAGGGAACCAAGCAGGAGAGTTTTCTCCTGAAACAGAATTAGGACAGCCAGAGACAAAAAGGGAAACTATAGGCTTTAAACCAACAAGGGATAACATGAATACTTGCCTAATTAATCAAAGAGAAGTTAGCAGCAGCAGGCTATCAAGAAGAGCTAGTTGTGCAGAGTGGAGTAGATACATTAAGAAAAAACAAACATATCATACCCAATTTAGATAACAATTAAAAGAAGTATTTTTCCAACTTATGGAGAAAGTTTCAATTGATGATATATATTTTTTTATTAAAAATCTGGATGGGATAAAGAAACGATCCTTTTAATTTCCCTCCTGATAGCCTTTCAACTCATAGCTAATACCAGTGAATAGAGAAATGTATGATAATCTAGGAATTCCACTCCCAATCCTATACATACCTAAAATTTGGAGCACAGTTTTGAAATATTTGATGAAACTTCTTGATGGAGAGATGGAGGAAATTAGGCTGAAGCAAAGGGACCTGACAGTTGGCAGAAATCATACAGCTAAAGATAGTAGAAAGAAACATCTACAACATTTAGGAATGATTTAATTGGCTATGTGAGGAGATTTGCTTTTCAACATTAAGACAACATAAAATTAAACTTAAAAAGCACAAAATATTAAAAAATTAGTAGACTATTAATTAAATAATCAATGTATTCCCAAATTCTTTTATTTGGAATTTGTCAGTTTAGACAATACTGAAAATAAGTGCTAAATCTCAACTTCAATTTGCGCTTGGGATGGTATTTTTTCAAATATTTCCAGTCTAAAATGAATCTGTAACTTCAGTGGGGCATTTAAGACTGACATCCTTCTTAGACTATCTATACCAGTAACCCACATTTCCACGTACCTCATCTTCTCTCACTTTATCATGGATTTCAGTATTTCTGCCATCTTGATAAACAAATTTATAGAATGAAGTCAACAAACAGTAAAGACATCTTTGCTGCACTCTGAATTATCTGCATGAACAGGAAACTAAGTAGGAAAGGGGATTTGGTGGGCTGTGGACAGTGTTCACCCACTAGTGAGTTCTGTATTTTCCAAAAAAGGGAGAAAATAAATAAATGGAGACCAAAAATATACATGAAAGCTGAGGTTCTGAACTGTTCACCTGGAAGGAAGGAGGCCTGAGGAGAAGGTTGTGACACCACCAGGCAGCTCAGAAGATCACAGTATGTCATGATCCGGCAGTTTCCACTCTGAGACACTGTGAAGGTCTTCTGGAAATGGTACTTGTGCTGGCCCTGGCTAGAGGGCAGGCTGCTTAGGAAACGTGCTTGGGAGCCCTTGGGTTGCTGTAAAATCTGATCTCGATGCTGCAGAATGAGTTTTTGCAAGTCCTAAAATGAAAAACATTTTGTAAATGTGAAGCTTTTTTGTTTGTTTTTCTTCCATGCACATTTCCTTGATCTAATACAAGGAGATTTGTTACCCATTACATGAAATGTTAACATGAATCCTAGAGAATGGCTAGTTTTTGTAGCATTTCAACATGCAAATGACATAAAGAGCACAGAATCATAAAACAGTAAGGTTAAAAGTCCTTAATGGTAGTTTTGGTTGTTTGGGTTAAAACCTTCATTTTATTGGTAGATTCAGAAAAGTGAAATTAGTCAAGCAAGTTTTGAATTATTAGGTTTTATTTTTTTAAAATGCAATCGTGGTAGAATTCATCGTAAAGCATATAAGCTTTGAACAAATGCCCTAATCAGAAATAAAGAGTTGGTCATATTTACTTGCTGGAAAACTTGAAAAATCCTATTCGTATCTGAGGTATACCTAAGTAATATTTAGATTCCTTTTCAATTCCTATCCCAAAAGTTCTTTGGATTAGAAAGGGTAGACTGACCTGGACACGATTATGAAGCTTAGTGCATTCTTCAGTGAGAACTTGAAGTTGGAGCCGGCACTGTGCTGTTTCTAGCTCAGCCTGCTTCCTTAGCATCTGCTCCTTTAGTAAGGTACTACAGAGGGAAAAGCCAGCGACAAGTGGAGATCAGGAAAGCTACAGAAGATTTCCTATCAAGATGGCACAGTAAGTTCATGCTATGATACACACATTTTGCTGTAAATATGTCATGATAGTGATTAACATATTACAAGAGAAAAATCTCTCAAGTCCAGAAACAATACAGAAATATAACATGCAGGGTTGAACTCATGAGCCTATTAGGTTTTAGTCTTAAAGTCGGCAGTGATAGCCAGGAGTTGGCTCCTTTAGGAATGGGGACTAAAAATACAATGAGGGATCAGATCCACGCTCACTGCTTAATGTAGGGCCAAATTATACAAGAGTAAAATGACATGTTAAAAGACTAAAGTTACCTGTTACTCAACACTACAAAAAAGTTAAAAAGATAGATAGTATATACCAAGAAAATGCTATCAAAAGACTGATTAGAATTAAAAAACACGAATAAGCATAAGGAGGAAAAATACGTAATAAATGGACACACCATCAAGAATCACCAATAAAAATCATAACTTTGCATGTACCTAAAGACAATTTAAAAATATGACATGCAAAAAAAGGAGTGATGTCCACTCTAATGAGACAAGATAGAAAGAAAGGCAAAAATTAAAAAGGATGAGATAAAACTGCCCTATTTATCTCATGGGAAATTCAAGAGAACCCACAAACTATTACAGTTTAGCAAGGTGCTAGAATCAAGATTAAGAAAATTAGATCTACCAGATTCTCCACACACAAGATAACTGATTAGTAAATATAATAGAAAAAATTCATTCGCAACAGCAATTTTAACAATAGCAACCTAGGAATGAAGTTAAAGGGCATGAAAGAATTTTATGAAGCAAAGTACACTTGTGAAAGACACAAGAAAACAGTAATTGGAAGGATATTACATAACGTTCAAGGCTTGAAAGACTAAAAATTAAGTTACTCTAAAAAATTTAATGTAATTTCAATCAAGATCTTAAAGGGTTTTCATGGAACATAGCAAACTAATTTTAAAATTAATATGGAAGAGCAAAGTGCCAAAAATGTCAATTTTAAGGAGCAAGGTAGGAGGACATATTTTAAAGCTACAATAAATTTTAACTTGGAAATACTGAAGCAAGAATTAACGACCAGACTATGGAACAAAATAGTAGTCCATTCAAACATAGGAACTTAATTTAGGATAGAAATAGTGATGAAAATTTATACAGAAAGAACATACTACTTATTAATAATGCTGTCACAAGTAGCTATCCACAAAACTAGATTTTTAGATAGATTAAAAACCTGTGTAGAAAGCAAAACTTTAAAGACCTTTAGAAGATATAGCCTTTATGACCTTGAAGCAGTGGAGACAACAAAGCACAAAACAAGATTGATAAATGATTGCATTAAAATTAAAAACTTGTGTTCAACAAAAAATTCCATGAACAAATTAGAGACAAGTCACAGACTGGGAGAAAATTATCTGCAAGGAATACAACCAACAAAGAATTAGTATAAGGAAAACACAAAGAACTATAAACCAATAAGAAACAATATGTTTTGTTCAATATAAATGAGCAAAAGATATGAAGAGAATTCATAAAATATGTTCAACCTCATTAGTAACTGAGGAAATGCAAATTAAGTAAATACTACTTCACCCCATGAGACTGGCAAAAATTAAGTCGGATAATATAAAGCGGGCAAGGGTATGAAAACAATAAGGAAAACCTTACACTGTTGCTGGTGGAAGCATAGACTGGAAATAGCTTCTTGGAAGAGCAATTTGACAAAATCTAGTAAAGCTGAAATTATATGTAACTTACAATAAAGCAATTCCATTTCTAGACCTAAAGAAACTCTCGTCCATCTCTCTGCAGCATGGCTTATAGTAACAAAAACTGGAAACTACCTTAATTGTGCACCAGTACGAAATACATATAAGTAAATTCTAATTAGAGAACTAAAATACTATACAAAAATTAAAATGAACAAACTGGAGCTACATTAATTAGGATATGTGCCCCAAACATAACAAGCAAAAAAATTAACCAACAGAAAGAAAATTATAATCCAATAACATTTGTATAAGTGTAAATACTTTCTAAATCATACTATATATAATTTATGGATATAGATCCTCTAGGTAGAGATGGAAGTAAGAACTTAGTTCACAAGCTACTATTGTATCTATGACGATTTAGTTTATAAGAGGCCAAAACAAATATGGCAAAATGTTAAGATTTGATAAAATTGAGTATGGAGTGTTTGTTTTATTAGTCTCTTAACATGCCTTCATGTGACAACATATTATGTGTACATCGTCAGTTTTAATAAATGTGTAGTATTCCATCACATAGATATGCCAGAGTTTACTCAATCCATTAATTCTCTTGGTATGGATTACTAACAATGCTAAATGAAAAGGCTCATTAAGTAAATCTTTGTACACATCTTGTTTCTTTAGAATAAATGCCTGAAGTAGAATCACTTTAAAAGGCTGTTGAAGTATATTGCCAAGGGGTTCTCTAAATGGCTGTGCTATGTACATTATTAACAGGAGTGCGTGAGAGCAAGGATCCCGAACCCGCAGGCCCAGACTGGTACCCCCTACTGCGACCTGTTAGGAACAAGGCTGCACAGCAGGAGGTGAGCATGAGGGATGCCAGGAAGCTTCGTCTGCATTTGCAGTCGCTCCCCAGTGCCGGCATCACCACCTCAGTTCCACTGCAGATCATCAGGCATTGGATTCTCATAGAAGCACTGGTCCCTGGTGCCAAAAAGGCTGGGGACTGCTGCATTAGAGAACTCATGTCTCTTGCACTTTCTCAGTGGTGGACATTTTTATTCTTTAATATTCTTAAAGCATATTTTAAGTAGTGTGATTAGCAACTGTTCTTGAGCTTTCAAAATCCTGGTAATATCTTACATCGCACTATATGTGCAAAGCTTCACTGTACAAGTCTTCTGTGTAGAGTGCTGTAGAAGGGTTTAGGAACAACATAAGCAAAAATAGTAACATTTAGGTATGCGCCAGATCCTTCTTCTTTTTTTTTTTTTTAAATTATTAATTCTATTTTAGCGAAGAGGAAACTAAGACTTGGAATGTTTCAGATGGCCAAGAACTGACTACAAAGATTAAGACAAGACTCTCGGATTCAGTGTTCATAGCACTTAGCAGCAGAGTTAGGCAGTAAATATAATCCCTAGATTAGAATCTGGACAGGCCACATAAAATCTAGGATATCTTTCTGTCTGGGTCTGCCGCCTAGGCCAGATGTAAGGTATTATAGTAGGGCTGTAGGTTTCTCTATTGCTTTTGATTTCGGGAGTGCTTAAGACACCATGGTCTTCACCTCCCCAGGTCATATTACCAAAGGTTTAAGTCAGAAGGCTGATTCCAACTTTGTGAAAATGCCTTAGTACTCCTAAGTACAGCTGCGCCATTCCTTCTGAAACTACCAGCTCCAATCAGCACACAATACCCAGGCTCTGAAAACAAGGCTCACAAAAGATGCCAAGCACATAGAAGTGGCAGTCTCTCTGCAACGCTGGTTAGTATTCCTTGGATTACAAGGATAGAAACTTTACTTGAACTGGCAAACTAAAATTGAAAACCTATGTACTGACTTGTGTAACTGAGAAATAAATCCACTGGAGTCTAACTTCAAGCATGGCTGAATCAAGGTTCAGAAATTTGTCTTTCTCCATTTCTCAGCTGTTTTCCTTTGCAACTTCATTTTCAGGCAGGCTCTCCCTATTCTATGGCTAGGAAGGCTCTTGGGAGCTCTGGGACTGTATTTTTCCTCAAGAGTTTGAGCAAAATCCTGGGGCCTACATTCATTAGGCTAGCTGAAATCACAATTACATTACCACAGATCCTCATTTTTAATGCTGTATGTTGAGCAAACAAAGAAGACATCCTTTAGAAGATGATCAGACATTTACTGTAAGTCACATGTGAGACAGACTGCCAATGATCACGAGAGATCCCCAGTCTTAGCCCAATTAAAGCTTTGGAAACAAACTAAGAGTGATTCGTACCTCTTTTTTCAGATGTGCCTTCAAGGGACCAAAAGAGAACATTCCAGCTAGGAAGACTCTTTCTACCTACCTTTTCATGTGCTCATGTTCACTAGTGTCCAAAGCTCTCACGGTTCGGGCATAAAGGACAACAATGTCACTGTGCTTGGCTTTCTTGTTGCACTAAAGAGCCCAATAGGACACAATTAGTATGGTTCCAGGAATCCTCCTGACTTACCATTTTGACTGTGCACATGCATAGTCCCTACCTATGGTCCTTACCTGAGGACATTTTCGTGCCTGTCCTTTGAGCCACTTAGAAATGCACCTATACCCAAAAAGGTGTCCACACCGTAATGCTGAGAGTCGGTGATCCCCAGCATTGGTCCACTGTTCCAAACATATTGTGCAAGTATCTCCTTCTTCTTCATCTGGAGCTGAAGGTAGAAGAACGCTGGACTTCTGGGGAGACTGCTGGATGGAAACCAGAATACATTCAAATTAGAGAAAATGCAAAAAAGTCTTGAAGAGGATGCACAACTATCAAATTAACAACCACGCAAAAATGATACAAACTGAATTAAAAATACTGTAGAAAAACTGCAGCATTTATGAACCACTTGTCATTCTTTCTCAAATAAAATCTGGTCAAATGGAATACAAGCCACAAAAATATTACTACTCTTTGATCTTATGAAACTCTTGGATTTTCTTTTTATTCAAATGAAGAAAAGAAGCTATCTTTACAAAGAGAAAACAAAATAAAACAGACCTAATAGCTACAAAGATAACCAACAACAGGAAATGATAGTTTCGTTATACATCCAAAACCAGGTTCATTATTAACTCGAGTAGCTATAAAATACTTGGTATAAATCAAAGAAAAATACCAGGAAAACAAAGAAAGGATATAAACGGCTTACAAAAAATATAAATGGTCAATTAAGTATTCATTTATAATTAAAGAAATGCAAATTAATGAATTAAATGATATAAATTAACATCTGATAACACTAAGCACTGTTGAGGGTGAAAGAGAAATGGGAAGGCTTACATACTGTTGCTACAAGTAGAAAGTGGTACAAATTTCCCAGAGGACAATTTGGCATTATCAAAACTAAAATATCTAATATATCTTTCCTCTGACATAGCAATCTCTCTGCTAGGAATATATATCATAAATATAGTCACAAACATTTGCCAAGACATTTGTACAAGGATGGTCAGTGCAGCATGATTTGTATCAAGAAAAAAAAGAAAGAACAAGGGAACTGCCATAGTGTACATGACAAGGAAAGAACTAAAAATTTATTTATGTGATGGAACAACATTATTAAACTACTAATAAAAATGAGGTTCAACTTTATGTACTTGAAATAGAAGGCTCATTCAGGATGTAATAAGTCAGGAAAAAAGAAACAAGTATAATATTATCCCTTTCGTGTAAATTTAAAAATAGAACATTTATACACATAAATTTATATGTATACAAAGTTTTTCTACAAGAAATAAAAACAGGGAAACCATACAGAAACATGCAAAAAGTAGATCAATGACATTTTGGGATCAGCAGAGTCCACAGCTAATATAAATAACTCTCATATTAAGGACAATATGTTATTTTAAAAAATAAAAACTGTTTATCACATAGCAATCATAATCATGAACTATGTTCATATCTAGTATTTTAATTAATATTTAACCTTGTTAGGTAAGCAGGACAAATTAGCCTCATACTCCACATACCCCCTCACCCCACCTTTTTAAACCTAAAAGAAGTCACACAAATGACTAACTTGGATACGATCTACTCTGGACTTGCTGCCTACGAAGCCTGCAAGTTTTCAATTTTAGCCTGCAGCCTGCTTTTTAAATGAAAATCTGAATTGTTCATTTAAAACGATATTCATGTTACCTGCTTGGGGAGGGTCTCTTTTCCACCAATACATATAACTTCTTGCTCTGCCGAAATATCTGCTGGTTGCTCTGCCAAGTCGTTTCCAGAAATGATAGGATAAGCAACATACAAAAGAAGACATTAGTCGGTTATAGGAAGCTAGCAAGAGAGCCTGACTCACTCCCCATTTCTAATTGGTAATATCACTACTTTTATAGCAATCTCTTTTACGAGGACAACTTCCCCAGTTAGCATCAGTGAATTTATTTTTTTTCATTTGATATCTTCAAACATAAAAGTAGACAGAGCAGTATAATTAACCCATAGGTACCCACAGCCTCATTTCAAAAATAATATTTTGCAAATCTTGCTCCATCTAAGCCCCATTCCCACTGTTTTCTTTTGGAATACTTAATAACAAACCCTAAAATATTTCACTTGCAAAACTTTTATAATACTAACTGATACGGATTTATTTTTACATAAACACTATTATCATACCTCATAAAATTAACAATTCTTTAATTCCATCTAATCCCAGGCACCCAGTTAATATTCAAAATTTCCCAATTATTTTAAAGTTGCTCTGTATAGTGGATTTACTCCAATCAGGATCTAAACAAGGTCTGGACAATGAGCTTCACTGTTATATCTCTTAAGTCTTTTTCATTCTATAATGATTTTCCTTTACTCATTTTTATCCCCTCATCACTGATTTGTTGGGGGAGATCTGGTCATTTGTCTTATAAAAAGTCCTACATACTGGATTTGCCTGATTACTCCTTTGCGGTATTGCTCACTTATTTGTTCTATCACCTACATTTCCTATAAACTGGCAGTTAGAGCTATAGGCTTCAGTAAATTCAATTGTTTTTTGGAAAGAGGGGCAGCAAGAGACTCCTTAGATTGTGTACTTTGGATTGTTGCACATCAAAAGGCTCATAGGGGTTCAGGTGGTGTCTGTCCGACCCCTACAGCAAGTAGCCCCCAATTTTTTTGGCACCGAGGACTAGTGCTCCTATGAGAATCTAAGGCCTCATGATCTGAGGTGGAGCCGAAGCAGTGATGTTAGTGCTGGGGAGCGGCTGCAAATATAGATGAAGCTTCACCTGCTCACCCGCTGCTCACCTCCTGCTGTGTGGCCCCGTTCCTAACAGGCCACAGATCAGTACCAGTGTGAGGGGACACTTGTCCTAGACTATTAATAATCAAGGAGGTGATTTTAAATTTTTAGTCATCTTTCTGAGGCTCAAATTGTCCCATCATAGGCCAGTGGGACCCATTCAAATGGGTTATTTAAAAAAAAAACTTTTACTGAAGTGTAATATACATACAGAAAAACATATCCTAAGTATTCAGTTTAGAGAATTTTCACCAACTGAACTATAAACCAGAAACATCACCAACACCAAGAGTGCCCCTTATACCCTAATGTCTTCCTTATATCTTGGGGGGCGGAGTAGGAAGAGGGAAAGTGACCTCACCCCAACCAAAGGTAACCACCTTAATAAATTCTAACACCATCAATTGATTTTGCCTGTTTCTGTATATAAATAGCATCTCCGAATTACCTACTTTTTTCGTCTACTTTTGTTCTACATTGTTTATAAGATTCTCTTACATTAATATGTGGAGTTCATACATTTTCACTACTCAACAGTTTTTTATTGTATAAACATATAACGATTATATTTCCATTCTACGCTGATGGGTATTCCAGTAGTTTTCAGTTTTTTGTTATTACAAACAATATTGTTACACTGTTGTACATGTCTTTGATGAATATATGTACTCATTTCTTTGGCTGACTACCTAATGTGAAATTGCTGAGCCATAGGTTACATATAGTGAGTTTATAAAGATACTACCCAAAATGTTTGTACCAATTTATACTCCCACTAGCAGTGTATAAGAGTCTGGTTGCTTTTCCAATACTTGATACTGTCATTTTTTAAAATTTTAGCTGTTGCATAGGTACATATCAGTTACCCTCAGTTAAACTGAGGGTTTTTTAAATTATGTTGCGGTTAATAACATCACATAATTTTCAGGTGTACAAGATTATAATTCAACACCTGTGTACTACTTTGCGTTTCCTACCTGAAATCTTGTTTCCTTCCATTATCATATATTTGACCCTTTACCCACTTCACCCTCCTCCCAACCCTCTATCTCCTTTGGTAACCACCATTCTGTTGTATCTGTGAATTTATTTTTGTTTCATTAGTTTCGTCACTTTTTGTTTTATATTCCACATGAGTGAAATCATACAGCTTTTGCCCTTTTCCATCTGACTTATTTCACTTAGCATAATACTCTCGATGCATCTTTGTTGCAAATGGCAGTATTTCATCTTTTTTAATGGCTGAGTAGTATCCCATGTGTATATATACCACATCTTTTTTTTATCCAAATCATCCATCAATGGATAGTTATTTCCATGTCTTGGCTTCTGTAAATAATGCTGCAATGAACGTATACAGGTATATATCTTTACAAATAAGTGTCTTCTAGGTAACTACCCAGAAGAGGAATTCATGGATCATATGGTAATTGTACTTAATTTTGTAAAACTGCCATATTGTTTTTACACAGTGGCTGCACTAATTTATATTACCACCAACAGTATACGAAGGTTCTCTTTTCTTCACATCCTCTCCAGCACTTATTTCTTATCTTTTTGATAACAGTTACTTCTAACAAGTGTGAGGTAGTATCTCGTTATAGTTTTTACATTTCCCTAATTACTAGTGATGTTAAACATCTTTTCATGTCTGTTTTGGCCATCTGTATGTCTTCCTTGGAAAAATGTCTATTCAGGTTGTCTGCCCATTTTTTAACCAGTTTGTTCTTTTGTTGAGATGTATGAGTTCTTTATATATTTTGGATAGCAGCCCCTATCAGAGCTTGTTTGCAAATATCTTCTCTCATTTGGTTAGTTGCATTTTTGTTTTGTTGGTTTATTTTGCTTTGCAGAAGCTTTTTAGTTTGATGTAGTCCAATTCGTTTATTTTTATTTCCTTAATCTTTGGGGTAAAATTCACAAAAACCCCACTAAGACCAAGATCCATAAGTTTTTATGCCGACATTTTCTTCTATATATTTTACTGTTTCAGGTCTTACATTCAAGTCTTTAACCTATTCTGAGTTAATTTTTGTGTATGGTATAAGATAGCAGTCTAGTTTCTTCTTTTTGCATGTGGCTATACAATTTTCCCAAAACGATTTATTGAACAGACTTCCCTTTCTCCATTGTATATTCTTGGTTCCTTTGTTGAAAATTAGTTGTCTATATATCTGTGGGTTTAGTTCCGGGCTCTTAATTCTGTCCCTTTATCTGTCAGTTTTTCTGCCAATACCATACTGTTTTGATTACTGTAGCTTTGTAGTATAACTTGAAGTTAGAGTGTGTGATGCCTCCTGGTTTGTTTTTTCCCTCAGGTAAACTTTAGCTATTTAGGTTCTTTTATGGTTCCATACAAATGGATTTTTTTGTTCTATGAAACATGCCACTGCGTTAAACATGTAGATTGCTTAGGTAATATGAACATTTTAACAATGCAGTTTTTCGATTGAACATGGAAAATCTATTTGTCTTCTTCAATTTCTTTCAACAATGTCTTATAGTTTTCAGTATACAGGTCCTTCGCCTCCTTTGTTAAGTTTATTCATAGGTATTTTATTCTTTTTGGTGCAATTCTAAATGGGATTGTTTTCATTTCTCTTTGTGACATTTTGTTGTTAGTATGTAAAAATGCAAGAGATTTTTGTATATTGATTTTATATCCTGCAACTTATTTTATTATTTTGAATAGTTTTTTGGTAGTCTTTAGTGTTTTCTATATATAGAATCATGTCATCTACAAATAGCGAGATAGTGAGTTTTACTTTTTCCTTCTCAATTTGGATGACTTTTATTCTTTTTCTTGCCTAACTGTTCTGGCTAGGACGTCCAATACTATGCTGAATAACTGGCAAGAGTGGGCGGGCATTCTTGTCTTATTCCTCCTGACCTTAGAGGAAAAGCTTCCAGTTTTTCGCTATTCAGTATGTTAGCTGAGGGTATGTGTCATACATGGCCTTTATTATGTCAAGATACTTTCCTTCTAAATCCGTTTTATTGAGTGTCTTTATCATAAATGGATGTTGTATCTTGTCAAATGCTTTTTCTGCATCTATCAAGGTGATATGATTTTTATATTTTGTTAATTGGTATATCACATTGATCTGTGGATGTTGAACCTGCCTTGCATCCCTGAAATGAATCCTACTTGATCATGATGTATGATCCTTTTATTATTATTATATTTGATTTGCTAGTATTTTGTTTAGGATTTCTACATCTACGTTCCTCAAAAAGATTGGCCTGTAATTTTTTTGTGTATGTGTCCTTGCCTGGTTTTGGTATTAGGGTAATGTTGGCTCACACTGTGGTTTTAATCTATATTTCTCTGATGACCAATGAAGTCTTTTTATATATTTACTGGCCATTTGGTTGTCCTCTTTTAGAGGTATCTTTCAATTTTCCTGTTAGGCTGTAGTATTAACATAGCCTAGATATAAGTCTTTTTTCAGATATATGTATTATGAACATCTTCTCCAGTCACTGGGTTGCCATTTCACTCTCTTAAAGATCTCTGAGTTCTAAATTAAAATTCACCTGTTTTATAATTGATTTGTTGGAGAAATCTGGTCATTTGTCCTGTGAAATGTCTCATAGACTGGATTTAACTGTTTCCTCGTATTGTTTATGTTTTATTTACAATAAATATTAGAGTTGTTAAACCATCATCATATCCAATTTTAAAACAATTCCATCACCCCAAAAAAATCCTACATGCCAATTTAGAATCATTTCCCATTTGCACCAGCAGCCTTAGAGTTTGTCTCTACAGATCTGCCTTGTCTGGACATTTTATCTAAGTGGTATCAAAGTATCTAGGCTGGTTTACTGTCATAAAAAAATGTTTTTAAAGTTTGTATGTAATTTTCTTGGATTGCTTCAATTTTGAAGTACTCCTTACAATGAGTTTTATCACTTATGTACTCTTCTATTACTAAAATGATTTTATTTTTTAAACTAGGTCTCTGATCCACTTATTATATCCTGGTTTATAGTATGAGGAATGAATCCAGTTTTATTGTTTTCCAGTTAGCTACCCACTTTTAACAACAATAATAATTTAAAAGTTGCTTTTCCACACTGATTTGAGATATTCCCTTCACAAATCTAGATTTTCATATATATTTGCGTCTTTTTCTATATATTTCAAATGTCCTACATTTTTTATATTTGGATGATTGCATCTTTGAGATATTGTTTACCTTGTTCCTCTACTTCCTGTAAACTGTACAAACTAGAGCCTTACTTTTTTTTTTTTTGGATAAAACACTTCTGAAGTGAATATTTCTGACAGCAGGACATCAAGAGGCACATAAGGTCTGGAGGTATCAGCCTGGTCCCTCTAACCAAAAAAAAAAAAATCCCACTAACCTTTCAACTTAATGAATTTAGGATTCACTGATGATCTTTGCCTAGAAAGATCATTTCATTATGAGTCACAAAATGATGATTTTTTTCCTATTATTCCTGCTTCATTATTAGCTGGAATTTTTCTATTTAAAAATTTTCCTTGGGGATGGGTGGGAAGGATGAATAGGCAGGCAGAACACAGAGAATTTTTAGGGCAGTGAAAAAACTCTGTATATTATATTGATACTATGTCATTATACATTTGTCCAAACCCATAGAATGTGTAATACTGAGAGTAAACTATGGACTTTGGATGATTATGGTATGTAACAAATGCACCATTTCTGGTGAGTGATGCTGATAATGGAGAGGCAATGCATGTGTGGGGGCCAAGAGTATATGGGAAACCTCTGCACCTTCTCAATTTTGCTGTTAACCTTAAACCAGTGGTCCCCAACCTTTTTGGCACCAAGGACCGGTACTCCTATAAGAATCTAATGCCTGATGACCTGAGGTGGAGCTGAGGCAGTAATGCTAACGTTGGAGAGTGGCTGCAAATACAGATGAAGCTTTGCTTGCTTGCCCACCACTCACCTCCTGCTGTGCGGCCTGGTTCCTAACAGGCCACGGACCAGTACTGGGACTGTCATACTAGGACTTAAAAATGAAAAGGAATGTAAAATGTCATTACAAAGTACTGGTCCATGGCCTGGGGATGGAGGACTCCTGCTTTAAACTAGTCTAAAAAAAAAAGTCCTAACCCCTAAACTTCTTTCTTCAATTACCTGGTTTTTCTGAATGTAGTTCACATAGGAAAGGCAAGATAAACTCTTAATCCTTTATTTACCAGCTTTTGGAGAAATAAGTTGGGGCTCTAATAACTTAGGATGATTGACGAAAGAGGTTTCTAAAAAATACATAATTATGAATTTATAGATTTTCACAGATTAGATGTATTTCAACTTATTTCAACCCAGAATCCAAGAATACATTCATTATTCTTTTGATGCTCAAACTGTCCCATCTTAGGCCACTAAGAGCCCCCACAAGGTTGCTCCTGTGCCTACTGATATAACTCCATGAGATTTAGATGGTTTCCCTGCTTTCTAGCATAATAAAATATCTTAATCTCATAGTTTATATTTCATATCGCAGATGTGGAAAGCTATCTCTCCAAAATGCCCTGTTTCTGTTTAGTGTGGAAAAGTTCACAATCTGGGGTATCGGAGGGTTTTTAATGTAAGGACATATGCTTTAGGGATCACTGCTAAATAAAGTTCCATTTGCACTATATATAATATCATACTAGGACTTAAAAAGCAGGAAGACTAGACAGGGTGCTGAATTTATGAAGCTTTTCTTTTAAAAAAAAAATCTACTTCCTTCTCAGAAGTCTAAGAAAATGAAAGGGAATGTAAAATGTCATTACAAAGTAAGGGACTTACTGGGTCGCAAATCATATTAAATTGCAAGTCAGATCAAATTCTATGTGATTATGGCCAGTTACAATTGTACAATTAAGCAAGAATATATATCACTGGGGAGGAAGGGCGGAGTATTGAAACACATAGAGTTTCTAGCCTTCTGGAGTCTAAGCTTTCTAGATGTTAGTCTGTGAATCCAAATCTGAATAAAACACTTACCTTCTAAAACGACAACTCCAGGTTCCTCCGCCTGGACGACCACCTCTTCATACTCTATGGAACTGTCACTGTCAGAATCGGAATTACTTGATACTTCCAAGTCTTCAGAAACAGGATTGCTAGCCCCTGAATCATGAGAAGTGGTTGGCAAATGAGGCTGGGTCCTGCTCACTTGAAAGTAAGCATCCAATGGTGTTCTGGACCTATGTATGCAGAAAGACAACAGAATTATACTACAATGGACCATCATCACAAGAATAAACCATAGTAATTTGAAGATAAATGCTAGTCATTTAAATCTATCTCCAGGCCATTAAATGATGCCTTTGAACACTGAAACAGGAATAAAAGATTTAGGCAGATGCTGGCTTGTCTAGATACTCTCTTTTCCACTCCATTATTATATTAGCCCACACTGGATCTTGATTCTTCTGCTAAAACCTAATTCTACTTCACTGGCCTTTGGCCATGTGTCAATATCTTTTAAAGGACACGACTCAGCAATTTGTCTGCTGGTATTAAGGGGCTGAAAAGAGAGTGGGTGAAAAGAAAAAGGGCTCTGTTGATCAAATATGGTCTCATGGGATTCTGCTGCTGCAGTGAGGGGTACAGTATGAAGTCTGGCTTTAGCCATCATTATTTCACCTCATATTTTAAGACAGTTCTTTTCAAGTTTAAGTAATATCATCAGGTTAAGGTTAAAAATACAGTATGGTATCAAACAAGAACTCAAGATGAGGAGAGCTGGGAGCTGACTTAAAACTCCAATCCATTCTAGCTGGCTAAGTTTTAACCATAACCATTACTAAACCTCAGTTTCCTTCACTTCCAAGATAACAAACCATACTCTACTTAAAGCACAGAATTAATAACATTCAATATTAAAAACTAAAAAGTTGTTTTGAACTTCAGAATATACTACTGAGCTAATAATCACAAAGTATTACTGAAAGGTAACCTATATTAAGTTCTAATAACTGTTTTTTATGACATTAAGTTATATTTTTACCCAGAAACATTGATAGAGACTGCTTACACAGAAAAACTTTGATTTCTCATAGGCTGGCTAAAATTTATGGCAAACTAGGGCTTTCTATTAAAAAATGGATGATTCAATGGAACAAAATAAACATTATTTGGTATCCAATTCAATAGAGATTTGCCCTTGTAAAAAAAAAATATGACTTGAAATGAGAAGCAGTTTTGATTCTTTTCTGATTCACAATTTAATAGTGTACAATTCAGTGGTTTTTAGCATAACCACAAGGTTACAACCATGACCACTGCCTTATTACAAAACATTTCACCACACTTAAAATAAACTCTGTACCCATAAGCAATCCCTCCTTCTCTCCTTCCCTCAGCCCCTGGGAACCATGAATTTACTGTCTGTCTCTATGGATTTGCCTATTCTGGACATTTTATAAATGGAATCGTACAATATGCAGCCTTTGCGGTTTGGCTTTTTTCACAACTTGATATATACAAGTATATGTCATCTGCAAATAGCTAGTTTTATTTCTCCCTTTCTAACTGAAATGCCTTTCTTTTTCTTGCCTAACTGCCCTGGCTAGAGCCTCCAGTACAATGGTGAAGAAAAGTGGCAAAAGCAGACATCCTTGTCTTGTTGCTGATCTTAGGAGTAAAGCTTTCAGTCTGTCTGTTTAGTATGTTAGCTGTGAGTTTTTCACTGATGTCCTTTATCAAGTTGAAGAAGTTCCTAACCATTCCTACTTTGAGTTTTTGTTGTTTTTTATCATGATCGTTATTCCGATCTTTTTCTACATGTTGAATCAACCTTACTTTCCTAGAACAAATCCTACTTGGTTATAATGTGTGATACTTTTTGTATGTTGTTGGACTTGGTTTGCTAGTATTTATTTGAGTATTCTTGCATCTATGTTCATAAAGGTCTATATAATTTTCTTGTGATATCTTTGTATGGTTTTGGTAGTGATCAGTTAGGAAGTGCTCCCTCCACTACCTTTTCTTTTAGCAGAGTTTATGAAATACTGGTGTTATTTGTCTTTAAATGTTTGATAGAATTCACCAGGGAAGCCATCTAGTTCTGGAATCTTCTTTGTGGGAATTTTTTTTTTAAATTACTGATTCTGTTACTGGTTTATTCAAATTTTCTTTTCTTGAGAGTGTTAATAGCTTATATCTTTTTAAAAATGTGTCAGTTCACCTATGTTATCTAATTTCTTGGTATAAAAATGTTTCCAGTAGTCCCTTATAACATTGCTTTCTTCTGTAAGGTTGATAGTAATATTCCTTCTTTCATTCCCGATTTTAATACTTTGAGTCTTCTACTTCTTGGTCAGTCTAACTAGAAGTAAAAGATTTAGGGACTGACTTTCCTTTTTTTCTTAAATCACTCATTAATATTGCTTTTATATAGCAAAATAGGCATTTCCAAATTCAAGTCGGGACATAGGAAAGGAGAACTGTGAAGAGTAACAGAGGGCAGTGCTAGGGAGTGCGACCTTAAAATCCAAGAAATCTTCTTCTT